TAACGGTGAGTATTGTACATTTGTACTGGATATCGATTCTAATTCCCAATTCAATCCGCGAAAAACTATTTAGTACTTATTGCAAGATATTCATATTTTTTAGTCGACTATTGAACGCATCTGCAAAGTATTACTTATTTTATTACTTATAATATCGTACATCGATAATTTGTTAATTCTAAAAAAATTGTTTTCTTTTCACCGTGTGAAAAGATTCGTTCGCCCATATGTGTATTTTACGAAATATTACCCATACGTGGTCCGCGCGAATTGTACGCGCGATGTTCACGAAGTATCCCTTTTAGACAATCAAATAATAATTGAAAATCTATTTTTGAAGTTTTTACGATTTTACAATTTGTTTAGCAAATTTTAAACAATTGATATAAGTATATAACAAATATTGTTAATTTTTTTAGCAAATAATATTTTTATTGAAAATCCTCTTTTTAAGTTTCATATTTGATTAATTTTATTTAACCCAGATACACCATCGACATTTCATAAAAGTATTTTTTTTATATTCTTTATTTAGGATATCGGTTACACACAATGAAATATAATAGTAAATAAAATAGTTATACCTACCTACTTTGTTGTATAAAAATTTCATTTTTTTGTAACATTTTATTATATTATTTTTCCTAAAAATATTTATAAATAGGTGTGGGTCTGTTTTTGTTTTATTTCTAAGTTCATGTGATTTTTTTCATAAATCATTTAACTCCCATAATATACCTAATCATCTGCATGACTGTATATCATCTTATGTCTACCATTAAACCAGCGTTAATAATAATTACAAAGTATAATATAGACCATATGTGTCTCGGTGTTGTTATCCGACCATTTGCCAATAATTAATCATTCCTACTTATTAACATTTTTTTTTTTTATTTTGTCATCGTGATATCCGTTACGATATTTGTTAATATAAAACAAATTATTCTTTAATTAATTTTGTTTTGTCTATTTGTTATTAGTGGCTAGACTTTAGTTTTCGATGCCTAAAACCCAAATCCACATTTAAAAAATTATTTACTTACCTTTTTTATTATTTTATACATTTTTAATTATTTCAAAAAAGTAAATTAGTAAGTAAGTATTTTCATGATAATAAATTTATAAATACCTATCGGGATGTAAATAAAATAACTAAAATTCAATTTAAACTATATAAGTATTATTATTATTATTTTTTTAGTTAAAATATCTATAATAATATTGGTACCTATGATTAAATTTAAAAGTAACTATGTTACGTAATTTGAAATTTAATACTTATATATTTTAAATGTGCTACTTAGTAATTAATTAATTAAATATTTTATTCTATTTTACTTATAATTATGTAATTTTTTTATTAGTTTCTAAGGATATCAAAATATTGTTTAATAGTGTTACCTACATTATAAACAGTAATCAAACAGATCAAATATGAGTATATAAGTATTTATTTTTATTTTTTTATTAGAAAAAAACGAAAATAAAATTAAACTATTTGTACAGGTTTATTTTAACGAAGGTAAGACATCAACAAATAGGAATTTATGATTCTGAATTTGTTGTGTGCCTACAATATTTACAAATTTTTGTTTTTTTTTATATATATTTTTTTTTTTTACTAAGATTAGAATAAATGTAAATTAATAATTATTCCGTAGAAACGAATAAAGTTTTTTTACTATTAATATCAGTTATTATTTGACTTATTTTATTTATTATAAAGTATAATACTGATAAACATTATTCTGTATTATCTATGAAAAAAATTGAATATCTACATATTTAATGGAAATATTTTAAAATTTTATTTAAATGTTTTAATTATTGGATAAAAATTTTTTTAGGTTTGTAGATAACTTTTTGTTTGTTACTCATCTTGATTACACATTTTATACAGTGTAATTTATCGACCATTCCCATCTCTTCTTATTTTAATAATGCATTTATTCAAATCGTTATTTTGGAATTTTTAAGTTATAAATATAAATGTAAGTCTCCGCTTGCTTAATAAATATAAAGCATATATTAAACGTTTATTAATTAATGATATAGGTATTGAGTTTAAACTATAAAATGTATTTAAATAATAATTTGTATATTCATACGTTAAAAACTATAGTTATGGGTTAGGGTAGAGCACTTTTTACGTTTTTTGTAATACATATTTTTAGGTGTCCTCTGAAAAATTGGACTATTTATGCCAGTGATTTTATTATTTTTAATGAAATGACACTATAACTATATGAGAAGATATTAAATTATTATTTTATATATTTTAAACTTATTACAGATTTAGTAAAAATGTTTACACGAAAATGTATTTTACGTCCAAGAACACTACCAAATCTTGTTTTCCGCAATGATTTAAGAACACAGAAGTAATATACTATATTAAATTTATCAGTTAAGATTTTAACTATATTCTAACAAACGATCAAATCTTTTGGCACTTTTTTTTTTTCAGAAAAGTATATTATAGTAGCCGTATTGTGTTCAGTTCATTTTTGGCAGTAGTGATTGGTGTCGGATGCGCCTTAACATACGCCAACTATAATCCACAGATAAGGGATAATTTGAAAAAACGTTCGGTAATAATGAACGAAATAATACAGTTTATGTGGCAAGAAAAAAAAGACTTTCAAACAAAGGATTGATGAAATTACGTTTCCAACAGACAAATAAATCAAAATCTAAGCAATTCGCCACCTGATAATTGATATTATTATTATGTGTTTATTTTATCATTTTTATCTATGTTCTGTGGTTTTGTACTGAAAGATTAGATATCGGTAAACAATTCAAATAAAAACAAAATATTAAAGTAAACTGATAAACTTATCAAAATTTCGTTGAGTGTTATAATAGATATTAATTGTATATATAGGGCATGACTAAAGTATTTAGCCATGGTATAGGTGTGGTATAGGGTACTGACGTACTGTAGGTAATTACTAGAACAAGTAGAACACTAAGCATACCTAGTTCAAAGAAATTGTGGTAGGTATCTAATTGGTACACCATGCAAAATAAAATACTATACAATTGTTAAATAACACATTAAGGTAGATAATAATAATAAAAATATAAATTCTTTAATCATCGTGTATTATTAAATAATTTTTAAGTGATCCTGCATGTCGTTTCTCGTGACAAATTAAGTTATGCTAGTGAAGTTTACCGGTCATAAATTTCGTTACATGTAAGTTGCATACATTTTTATTAGTTATTTGGATTGGTTTTGACCAAATATAAAATACAGGTTAAAAATTTGGATACTTATATGGCTATATCTAATTAGCAATCATAATGATTATTTTATTTTATGTAACTAATTGCTTATAACAAAAAACATATACAAACAATAAGATACCTATTTTAGAACTTCTCCGTAAAATGCAAATTTTGGAATAATATTCCAAATAATATTTTTTTATAATATTTTACTCATAATGCGCATTCCTACATGTTGGTGCAGAATTACCATGTATATTTCAAGTTTGTAGCTATCATAATTATATGTGTTTATTGGTCTGTAAAGACATCATCTTTTGTGTATAAATACAGAGATACACAATCTTTTCTATTTTGAAAACATTGAGTTCTGTTAGCTGTTTAGTGTAATTTTATTGAGGTATATCCTAGACATTTTCCTCAAAATATGTACTTTTATAGTAATCAAAATATACTGAAGTTAATGTGATAACAATGATGGGTTTGATATATTATTATAAAAGATGTCTTGAAAGTCAGTCATACATTTTTTACTTATTTCTAATAAATAAATTTAAGAAAATCAGTAATTAATTTTTAGTGTTACTAAAATATTATTAAATATCCACATTATAGTATTTAAAAGGGTCAGCTGATTATAATATATAAATCTAAAAATGATTTAGATCCCGCATTACAAATATTTACCAATTGAATAATACTAATTGAATAATACAAATTGTAATTATACAATGTTTATACGAAACATGTCTATCCTTATTTAGAATTATCCATTTTACTATAGAGTACTAAATATTAAATATGTATTTTAATAATAAGATACCTATTCAAATTAATATTATTCCAACATGAATAAGAAAAAAAAAGTTATATTTTTGATTTTACCTGAAAACTACCTATACAGTAGTCAATGATTTGAAAAAAATTATCAAAGTTATTGAATTACATAAAAAAATATACAATATAAAAGACTAATCTAAAAAGTCTAATATACAGTAATATTTAAGAATATTGAGTCTTTGTATTTTATTTATTACTTAACTTTATTCACAATTAAGTGAGTTAATAATAATACTTTTACAGTAAAATAATATTTAACATCTTTTCAATAATATTTTTAAAAGCGTTAAAACATTTTATTTTAAAAAGAAACATTACTTAAAATAATTTAAATTTGTTACTAGAATTTATCTAATTATAAATTTTGTAAAATATTAGTCAAACTATCAAGTATAGATACCATTTATATAGTATTTTTTATTGTTTTCAATATTCTATTAATACTGATTATTGAGTATGATTTGCTGCTAATGAATAAATATCTATTAAATGCATTTGAAATTAAAACATTTCAAATGCAGCTAGTCATTAGGTTTAATGAATTGAGATCTTGTACAACAAAATCTTTATATACTTTATGTTTAACTTATATGGTTATCTGCAAAGTGAAAAGTAATTACAGCATTTTTAATCAGTTTGGATAGGAACATATCACCAGTAATTTAATATATGCAACATAGTGTATAAGTAATAGGTATATGATTCTAATACTAAAAATAATTTTAAAACTCAACCAAACATACTTTGTGGTTTATCTTAATTTCATAAAACACAACTTATATAAGTAATAAGATGATGAATAGGAAAGTTGTTAACTTAATATAACAATAAATAAATAAACAAATAATGACAAAAGGAATATTATTATTAACTGTTTGTTAAATATTATTAATAATTTGATTAAAATTTTTTTAAACTTTGAAAAAAAACTACACTTGCCTAAATACATTAATATTTTATTAAAAATATTATGATTATTTTGATTTTTCACCACCGACACTCATGTATGAAAGGTATGTATTCCAAGCTAATGACACTATTTGTACTGTTAAAACCCTGTATTGTTGTGGAACAATAGTGAAATTGAATACTTGTACAGCTGGCCAAATCTATAAAAAAAATTATAGGATATGATATTGTAAGATAATATTTAAAAATTAAAAAGTTGTATTTAATATTATTACCAAATAACTTGTAAGCATAACTTTCACATAGTTGTTTTCTATTTTATTTTGTATTTGTGGCCATTCATCACCACTAAACACTCTACTCATAACCATTATAGATCCACTAATAATTGGCGATGCAATCAGTTGGTCGACTAATATTTTTTTAGTCACAATTGGTATTGTGTTTTTAGTTCCTAATCTATCCAAAGTCTTGTACCACATGCTAAGTGTTGGACCAATCGCACACCCAATAGATGCATAACGAACAGTACGTAACCAATCAATTTCATCAGGTTTACACTTTTCAACTGCACTTTGAGCCATTAAATCGCCAATACCAAACAAAAGACCTAGCACAATGTATTATAATAATTAATAATTATAAATAATGTATAATGCTTATATTTTTACAATGCTTAACTGGTTAAATACCTGTTTGAATGAGGTTGGTCCTTATAGGATATGTATTGCTGCAATATCTGTACCATTTAAAATATGCCATTTTTAATGATTCTTCTAGGTTATGGTCTGTATTCTACAAAGACGAAGATTGATTTAACAGTTTAAGCGTTGTTTGGTTTGATTAATGACTTATTTGCTTACGATTGTAATGAACTATATAGATCAAGGTTAAACGTTTGTAGTTTTCCAAGCTTTTGTTGTTTGTAACTGTTCTGATTACAATTCGACACTTTTTACTTTGTTGTAACCAGTTGATTAAATTATTTCGTCTTATCTAAAACATTGCTAGCGTTGTGCACGGATGAGCACCTTCAAAGCGTTCCCAGTGATATTAGGTACAGACTGTACAGAGTATCGACTGTGAAAACAACTGTTTGGAAATATTTTTTCCGAACTGTTGGTATTTATTTGGAATTTATTTTATTTGAATATATGTTCTATCGGTCAAGTACGTAGTTACTCATTAATTATTTCGTTTGAAAAGTGTATTTAACTTGAAAATTTATGCGTTTTGAAATTAAACCATTTATTAATATTATTTAAAACGTACTTTTGTCGGATCAATTTTGAATCATTTAGGGACGTATTTTGTTGGGATGTATTCGTTTTAGACCGTAGACTGTACGTCCACGCTCCTTAATCCAAATAGGTACTAAACAATATTCATTTCTAACTAAATATTTTCCATAAAAACAAGTTCCTGAACAATAAGATTCCGCCAAAATGTTATTCAATAGATACCTATATTTTATTACAATACCTACTACCAAATCGATTTTTCCTACTTTTTCTTAAGACTTGAAAAAGTTAAGCTGCCTGTAAAGATTTTTATTTCGTTTGTAAGCAATTTTTCAAATATTAAAAGGTAATTTTTTATGGCAGCTGAAGAAATGCTCCAAATTGCTATAAGCCGTCCGAAACATTAAGTCTCGGTGGTACACGCCACGCGTCAAAATTCTTAAGGTTTTCTCGAATTTCGATAATATACAATTGTAAAAAAAATTTACTTTGAAAATTACATAATTTGGTACTTACTGGAGATAAGCCACGCATATTTTATGCTTGCTTTTAAAATCCAAGGTTAGCTATGCCTACACCATACAGATGTTTCATTGTTACCAGACACTGATAAAGAACGATATTATTACAAAAATACAAATACATATCACAATAAAATATTAATAGGCATGTTTTGCTTATATTTTTGATAAACACACATAAAAAACGACTTTCAATCTGATACACATTAATGGCTTAGCGCACTTATTGAATCGGTCTAGGTACAGTTTTTGTGTTAACATAAAAAATATGTCTACAGTTAAGAAGATAATTAGAAAATCGTAAAAAAAATTATTTTTATTGAGTTCATAAATTATGAATCATAATTAGTTTAATATTTTATTTTTTAACTAAAAAAAAAAAAAAAAATGAAAAACGAAACAAAAATAGATTGATTTTAACTCAGATAGCGTTGGGTAATTCTGTGTATGATATTAATATATTATACATAAAAAAATATTGTAAGCTACGATTTTCAAATGAAGTTTTGCTTATTCAAGAGCCTTGAAAAATGTAATACAAAGTTCCACACTTAGATTAAATCTAAAAAATCTAAAAAATATATATTAAAAATAATAAATATTTTTAGTTGGAATTCGAACGGAATTAGATAATAATTTTAATTACTTTGACAATATAGGTACCTACTTAATTCAAAAACATTTGGGACTAAATATTTTTTTAGTATTACTATTACTATATTTGATATTAGTTAGGTACCTATATGATATACCGTATATCAATAATATTTTTCACGACATTTAGATTCAATTTTTAACCAATTGTTTAATATTTTATCACAATTCACAAATTTATTCTTACTATTCTACAGAACTATAGAATATTGTCGGCATGGACTCTTTTGTATACCTAATAACAATGATTATGATATAAACATATGTATAATATTGTAATAATATAATGGATTCAATTTTTCAACAAAAATTAATTTAATTGACAATATTCAAATGGTAAAATAAATTTAATGTTAATTTAAATATATGATAAAATATAATATTACCTATACCTACCTATTCAGTAATATAGACCCTATGTGAATACGGTTTTTTTTTAGAATTGTTTTTGGCATATAATGATTTATCATCAAATTAAAATTTATGAACACATAAATCACATTTACTTTGTCTATGACGAGGTATCTACACTTGGCACTTACTGTACAGTGAGCAGTATATATACAATTGCCCTTTTTTTTTTAAATTTTAATCAGCAAAGATTATAATAATAGCTAACAAAGGAAATGACCTATTATGAATTCTGTGATTGACACATTTCATTAAATATAAAGTAATATGATTTAGTGTAATTTATAAATTCAATAAGCCCAAGTACAATAGTACTGGTATTAAAATTTTGAACAAAGGTAAGCGTTAACTAGGTAGTTAATTTATTTTTACTTTTAAATGTAACTAGTTAGTTAATTTTCTAATTAACTTTAAAATTTAAGTAAAAGTAGAATCCATAATAACAACTTAGCTTTTTTCAGCTAATTATAAAAATAAATTGATATTATATATTCCATAATATGGTGTTATAAATTTTCAAGGGTTTTTCAGTTTTTGAAAAATACTATAAAAAAAATATCCAAAACCGATTTTCTTAAAGAAAAATCTGTTTGTATCTGATTTTTATAAAGGCTTAAAATATACAATTATTTTAAGATAGTTGATACATTTTTGTTTTTAAATTTAAATTTAGGATTTTCCTTTGTAAACAAATAGTATTTTTACCAACATAATTTTATTAACAATACATTATTGTATATATAATATAATTATATTTATATAGTCAAATTTTTTTAAGTGTACGTCCAGGTATGGTCATTCATAGAATATAAAGAGCATTGAAAATTATTTTATTAAAATCCTTATTGTGTGGGTAATTACCCAATTATTACTGATGTGTAATGGCTATAAATATTAATTTAAACGCCAAAAGGTTATGTTTAAAAGTATAATTATTATAGGCTAATATAATAACAAAAAAAAAGTTCTTAATAATTAATTTAAATGATAATATACTTAATCAAAAAAAAAAACATGAATACAATTTGTAAATAATATTAACATTGGTTATCCATGTTAACATGGTTAATATTTACACAACAAACATGAAAAATAATTAGTAAATAAATAACCATGTAAATAAAAAGTAAAAAATAATTGTCTAGTACTACAAATAACAAAAATCATCTCAGAATAATAATAATAATAAAAAAAAAAATACATGATATATAAATTAAAATTAGAATTAAAACATAAAATTGACTAAATACAATTCTTAAAATGATCTTAAGACATATTAAAAACATCAACACACATATACCATATTAAAAATAAGGCTTTAGGGAAAAAAATTCCTGCTTCTAAATTAGTATTATATTCAGGTACAAAAATGTATAATGATTATCTCAATAAATGAACTGGAATATGAAATTCAACTTAAGATAATGATTTAGAACAATCAATATTATAATCAATGCGGTCATAAATAAACACTATGTTGGTAACTTAATGCTTAATTTTACACAAGTCCAAAATAAATGAATACACATTTCTCTAAATAGGAATCTTTATTTTAAAAATTGAAATTGTACATTTTTTTTAATAAGGGGAATATTATTAGGATCAAAACTATTATGTTTATTCAAAGTAGGTAGATAATCACTAACATCTTGCATCACTATAATTTAACTAATAAATACTAACATTTAAATCAAAACTATGCTATCAGAATTCTAATTCAATAAAAAAAATCTTTAAAAAAATCAGCTGATTTTTTTTTACACCTAAACCTAAATTACATAATACACAAAAAAATTGGGTAAATTAAATTAATTCTTTTAAGACTATTCTATTTATATAATTCCAAAACAGGCTTAATATTTTTACTATATAACTTTAAATTCTAATTAAATAATCATTATTACATCGATTAGTTAAAATTTTATATTAAATGTACTTAGTAAAAAAAAAAGGTAATACAATGTCTACAATGTTATAAAAAGCAAACTGTTAAACCATCTAAACTGTTGGAATATGTATTTACCATTGAGTTAAGGGGAGAGAGAATATATTCCGGGAAAAATCTATAGTAAGGCATTGGTACATTTGTTACAAGAAGAAAAGAAAGACTTAAATATCTATTATCTATTAGAGAAAAGTAGTATAGTTGAATTAAAAACATTTGTTTAGTAGAGATTAGCATATTTAGAAAATAAATATGAGAACACTTTATAAAGATAAATACTAGAACGGATTTTAGAATTCTTCTAAAGGAATCTATGTTTGGATTTTATTTAAAGGAAATTTATTAGACAATCAGATCAAACAACTTCAATATGATGAATTATAAATAGTTATTTGGCCATACTTGTCGCACGATATATCAATAATTCATAGGAAAATTATCTACATAAACAATTTAAATTAAATGTGCTCCTTGACTTGAGTGACTTTCATTAGTGAAATTATAAAATAATTTATTACACATGTTTAAAACAGAATAAAAAATTTAAATTATCAGTTATTATTTTTCAAATTTTTTAAATTAAATTTTAAATCATAATTAATATTACTTCATTATTTTTATTTTTACTATTCTAAATAGTAGCTTATAAATTAATAAAAAGGAACAGAAAAAAGTGATATAGAATACAAAAAAGACTTTATTAAGAATTAAAATATATTATCATAATTGATTTTGATTCATGCTATTAGACTAATGGAACTCACTAGTTAGGTTTTTATTCCAACCTGCAGAGAGATAGAGGATGCTTAAATTCTCAAATGTTTCCTGAAACTGGAAGAACAAGAGGATAGTGTTCACTCAGTATATTTAATATAATTACATAATCATAAAAGTCAGAATGAATCAATTTTCAAAAGTAACTCTAAGATCTTAGAAAAAAAAAAATCCAGTAATTCGTAGTCAATCTAGAATATTTATAAGCTATGAGTTAATTTATAAACACAATTGTTAAAAAAAAAATGTATATATTTTTTTTTTTTTTGTAAAAGTTGTAAAGTCTCTTAAGTTTGTTCATAGATCTTATTCAAATTGGTAGGAAAACTATATTAAGTATTTTAAAAATAAAATTATTTCTTTTATATTCTGAAAGATAGTTGATGACATAAATGTTATTTAATAAAAATATATGAACCATTGAAATTTGATTTGAGAAAATAAACCAAATTAAATTTATTATACCATTGAATATTTATAATTTTAAAGAATCAATATATATGTATATATGTAGAATAACCAAAAAATAAACATATCATAAGTTTATATTGAATAATATTCACAAGAACACCAGGTTAATTATATCCTTTCCTTTAAGTAATGACAAAAGTATACTGATTTGGTTATCAAAAAATAGTTATGAAAGAAAACTACTACAATCATTTGATTGAATAAACAAGTTAACATAAACTTGAATTTTTATTTATTTAAAGGGTGCTTTACCCGTATGAGTTGTCTACCTATATTTTATGTTGTTAGCTTTAATATGACAATCTAGTTATCAAATTTAAAGGTAAGAATACTATCAAGGATATCTCATAGGATTATATTAATAATATCATTTTAAAGCAAGTTATAATTATTTTAAAATAGTATCACATAAACTTTGTCATTTCACTCTAATATTTAAGCTAAACACACAAAATTGAAACAGTTGTTTTTTTTGTACAGTATGCATTAATAAGCGAAGAAAAAACAGACAGGTATAACATCATTTAAATAAATAACTTTTAGATTTCAATTAAATTATTGTCACAACTGCTATCAATCACTATTGATTTAAAATTTTCAACACTTAAACCATGTTCTAAAAGATCTTCATCAACTTCAGTAAGCACCTTATGTAACCAAATTTTACGTGAAGCCATAAATTTTCTTAGATGATCATAACATTCAACATGATTTTGTATTTCGTGTCGAATTATATAAAAAGGTACCAATTGCTCCATATTTTTTAAAAATTCTTTGTATTGGTGACCATAATTAGTTAAAACTATATTAAAATAATGTTTTCTCTTAGTATAATTTGATAATTTTATATGACTATATTTTGGTAACCATATTATAACTTACAAATTTTTGATGATTCCAATAAAAATTGTTCGGCATACTTTAATTTGTTTGATCTTTTCAAGTTCAAACGACCTAAGTCACGATAAGATAGAGCAATTTCAGCGTTGTTTTCATCCAAAATTGATTTTTTGATTTCAATAGCTTTTAAATACATTTTTTCAGATTTCTGTGAACATAGATATGAATAATTGTTGTCATAGGTATAATAAATGCAGAATTATCTTTTATACATAATTTAAAAATCAGTAATTATAAGATAAAATAAATATAAACATTACCTTATATTTTTTCTGAGTTTTATAAATATCACCAAGAATACTGTATGATTTTGCTGTAAGCATGGATTTAAGTCCAACTACATCTATAGTAAGACTTAATACTCTTAAATGGAGAACATGAAATTTTTTTAAAATTTTCTTCTTTAGTACTTCCTTATTGAAACCTGTATTTGTAATATGCATATTTTTAAAAATAATAAAAATGAAACGAATCTACCAATAAATAATAATATGTATAAGCAGTAACATAATATATTAATAATTCCAGTCTTAATTGCAAACAGTGAGTTTTTTTAAAAATATTTTGCTTTCAAAAGGAGTTGAGTCTACCTAGACATTTTTTACCAGGTATGATTAATATATATTAATATAGTTCTTTATTTAAGATAATAAGGATAGTTTATAAAAAAAAAAAAGTGAAGACATTTGTTTGAATAAGTACTAAGGAAATCTTAACTAAATATGTAATTTCCATTTGAAGCATAATAACAACATTGTGGACATTAATATTAAATTAATTAACCAATAATTGCAAATATTTTGAATATTATTTGAATTCTTGACGATAATTAAATGAAATGTCAAAATATTTTCTACAAATTTAACTTAAATAATATGAAAACTAATGATTTAAAAATAATTTGTCATTTTGGAGCAGATTGTATAAAATAGGACCAGACCACTGATCAATACTCTGTTTGGCAAGAGGACATAACTTTGTTGTACATTCAGTGTTATTAAGTTACGCCCATAATACATCATATCACATGATTAGTTATGGGTGATGTACAGACTACAGCTTGTTTTGGTTGTCCCTTAGATGCATTTTCTTGCAGGACAGATTAATACATACCTAATATATTTTATAGATTTAATGTTTTATTTTTCAATTTCTTATTGTACAACTATGCATTTGAAGATATTACATAAATTAATAAATGGTCAACAAATAAATAATAAAATAATAACTATACTGACCTAATGTAAACGTAAAATGATAATTTGGTACTAAGTTAATCATGAATGACAATGTTTTTTTTGTGATTAATGATTGCAACTGTAATGTATACATAAACAACAAATGGTTACTTGATATACCCAATGTTTTCAAAATAGATCTGATTTGGAATATGATTTGCCTAGGGTAACCATAATTTTTTAATTAAGATTAAATTTATCATTACACTATTAAATAACATTCATATAATTTAGTATATCTTACATGGATTCTTCATAGTCTTCTATTGAATTAAACGATTTATACCGAGAATATGCATACTCAGTCAAAATAAATGCAGTATGCAAATTATGATAACCAAATAAATTTCGTGTAGTATCTAACGCAATCTGAAATATAATAAAGCCAACTTAATAATTCTGCTTAATCAAAGTTTACCATAAACTATTCTTACAAAGTAATTTTTTCTACATTCTTTTTCTTGTTCTGTTTTCATTGAGTAAACTGCTTCATTCAATAACATATCAACGTGAATGTGATTACAAATTTCTGTGTTGTATGTGCGCAATTGATTTATTAATTTTTTTGCTGTACCAAATTTGTTTAAAACAGAAGAAATTTTAATAGCATGACTTATTACAGATAGTTTCAAGACATTATTATTCGTATCTCTAAGTTCATGAACTGATTTTACTGCCCATAACCAAGCCTAAATAATCATATTTTATAAAAATAAAAAAAATTGTAAAATTCCCAAAAAAGTAACAAACCGTATCATATTCCAATATTAAATAGTAGTACTGTGAAACAGCCACACATGCATTTGCTATACTAAATGATCTTTTTTCTATCATTTCTATCAAGTTAATAATGTGAAGTGTATGTTTTAAAACTTTTATAGCTTCATCAAATTCATGGAGCTTGGATAACGCTAATAACCACCTATGGAAAATATTGTTTTATTTAACAAATAATTATTTTAGTATAAAAAATTTGGAATTTAAAATTTTTATTAACTTGGACAGGCATTGAATAGTTTTGAGTAGCTCTAAATTTCGATCAACACACTGCCATAATGTGGTAATTATTGTAAATGTATGTAATAAGACATTAGCGCATTCATAAAGCCAGCCAGAATCACTGAGAAAAACTCCTATATATTAAAAACAATTAGAATAAACTTTAAACAATAAAAAACCTTTTTGTACAAACCAAATTTTATTCCTTGATCAATATGACGAGAAATTATTTGCTGACTTTTATCATTTATTGGAAATTGTATCCACTCATTTGATAAATTCATTGGAAATTGTATTCCTTTAATTTGTACACAAATCTAAAAAACACATATTTCAAGATTCATTTTTATGGTTAAAGTTTTTAGATCTAAAATTACCTGAAATATTGTAAACAGTTGTCCTCGAGAACTAGTGACATCCAATAATTTAAATAATAATTCCAAGTCAAAGTGATCAGAAAAATTGAAATGATCAACAAATTTAGTCTAAAAACATAAAATAAAAACTTTCAATGAATACTTAATACATTTCAATCTTAAAATTTATTTTTGAGACCTCACTTCATGTATAAGAAAAATATAAGACAACAATAAAAACAATAATTTATATTAAATATTAATTGTATAACTTTTTAAATTCAACCAATAAAATTAAACAGTTATTTCAATTTGTGTTATGTTTTATCAAAAAAAAAAAAAAAATTATTAATTAGAACAAAAATTGCAGTAATATGACATTTTTTTCTAAGTAGAGAGATGATAAAATAATGATTTTACAATATTTTTTTTTGTTTTTGTTGACAGTTGACACTACCAGTAAAAATTATTTAATCTACAATTTCAACATCTACGATAATAGCAATGTGGATCTAGTTAGTATTGGGAGAGGAAGGTGGCCAAACGTAAATTTTAAACTTTCTATAAACTTTCTTACTATAAATATAGAAGAAAATACTCAATTATTATTAAAATTATCTAATATTATTAATTTAAATACCATGTACCTACTGTGTTTGTAAATTAAACAAATGTTCATATAATAATTTAATGAAGGTATGGCGTTTATCATTTTCATAAAAAAGTAATAAGTAAAAAAAACAGATCCATTAAATTGGTTGACTTATGGTTCATTAATCTTATAAGACCATATGTATTTATATTCATAAATTATAAGTTTTTATACTAATTATTGTAAGTACAAAAATTATGACCAGAGCTCAATTTTAGATACTTTTAATGCAGTAGTGTGCTGAATAATTTTCAGACATGAGGCAAACTACAATATGACCACTCATACATTCACAGCATTTTAACTTTTTTTTTTTTACTTTATGTGTAAAGATTATAATTAAAATCTTTTTTTTTTGCACTAAATCTATTGTCTGGTACCAACCTATCTACCTTCCCATTTTGGTCTTGAGGAAATTGCTTCAAAAAAAGTCTACTTTGGTATGTCACTGTTTCTAAGGTTCAGAAGCCAATATTGTTTATTTTTAAAATCAATAAAAACTTTGTTTCGATAAATAAAAGTTCAACGTATTGCCATATTAAGACAAAGATCAGGATTGACTAATAATTTATAACAAGATCTACCTGGCAGTCAACTGACTACTGTTGCCAATAATAAATTAGTTACATAATTTAAGCCAAAATAGAATCAAAATTAAATTAATGCAGTGTATTAAAGCAGAATTTCTTACAAATTCCATATTTTTTATACTTAGTACATTAGAAATTTGTTTTCATTAATAAACATTTAAAGCAATAATATGTATATTGATAATCATATATATTACAAAACATATTTAATTAGTTATAAGAAATAATTCCAAAAATGAAAACTAAAAATTATGACTGTATGATTTTATGTTAATTATTTTTGAATATATAATAATTAAGGTATTGAAGTAAAATTTTTATTTTGAATATAATTTTCAATCAGTCTTAAATTTAATTTAAAGTTCTGATGATAAAGATTAAACTATAATTTGTCAATTTGCTTGTTTATAATAACTGAACAAAAATCTCTCAAAAAGAGCGGTTTAAAACTAATTGTAATTAATAATTATATTATTTTAAACAAAACATAGATATCATTTGATTATTTTTAAATAATCATAATATTATAATAACTCAATTTAAATTTTTCAAGAAATAAAATACATTGGTTAATGACTATCTTGGAATAACTTTGTTTTATTTGAACTATTAATAATCCATTGCATGCACTTAATACATAATATTATGTTTATAATAAATTTAGGTATATGGAAATTAAATTTTATTAAGTAAATATATAAATTTATAATAAGGTATAAAATCTTTACTCGACACTTCATATCAAAATCGTACCCAGAAAATGAATCTATGAAGTCTAGACTCCTAGACTTTTACTAAATTTTTGTTAGAGTAAGTAATGAATAATACATTATTTAATTTATACAAAAAGTTTAAAAATAAATGATGATCACTTTAAGATCCTCTCCATAAAAACAAATCTAAGTTACATCAATGCTTTCTATTTTATACCTCCCAGTTGATTCACAATATTAGATTTAAACCACAATACATAATATACAAACATATTTATGTATTATGTATGAATCAAAACAGTATACCATAATCATTTTATTTAATTTAATAACATATTTTAAGAGTAAACTTTTAACTATCGTAATAAAATAAAATAGTATTGGGATAATCACAAATTATGTTTTATATTGTCTATTATAAGTTTTATGTTTGAACATGAACATTTTAATGAACATCTGACAATGTACATTGAAATATATATTTAATTTATTTTAATGTTACCTTCCTATTTTTATGTTCATAACAAACAAAACTAATAATCACATTCAGTGGTGTATTGGTAAATATATTTATGGGTATACGCACTACTAAAATATGTATATTTAACTTAAAATTTTTTTTTTAACAAAAGTTAGCCAGCTTTGAATTGATTATATTCAAAATGTTAAAACAATTGATAAAATTAAAATTTTTGTTGCCCAGTATTACTTTCCTAACCATATTCAATAATTAGATATATCAATATCAGGAAGCTTGTGGTTTTAATGTGTTGTGTGGGTTGTGAATATAACATGATTGAATATTTTTTAATCGCTGAAATATTAGCAAACATTTCATTTTTAAGTTTTTACGATTTGTATATGTATTAAATACCTAAAGAGTATCATAATGACTTAGCTTATATTTAACTAATTAATGCTACACTACAATAATATACTATAAAGAAAAATCTATTAACAATACTTGTTGAATTGTGGCAAATTGTGAAAGAACATTCTCCATAAAAATTTCACTACCGAAGTAGTTACGACCGATAGTTTTATTGTTATGCGTCAAATGAGCAAGACAATATCCTCGGTAAATTGAATCCAATTCATCTGAATACAGTTCCTCATTTAGAATTGAATAATTGTACTCATAATCTTTGTCATCATTATTTACATGCAAGATCTGTATGTAAAAAAAATTAATTAAACATTGACAAAATAAAATGTTTGTAAAAAAAAATATCCAACCTTCCATATGATTTGTAAACCGATCCTTGGGTGTAAAGAATTCAACGTTGTTACCAGAGAATCTTTGGTTATGGATTGGCATGTCTGATTTAATGCTATATTGTAAAGTGAGTCAATTTTAGGTACAGAGCCATCCATAGTGATCAGAAAAATAATTTAATTAAACTGCAATAAAAATAATATCATGTTTTAGTTATTTTTGTATCTTCTATTGTGATATATGAGTACAAACACTGTAAATTACCTATGTTAAATTATCGGATGTAAAACAAATTAGCAGGTACTTACCTATTGTTTCGTTAGAAATTTGATTTAAATATGTTTACCTTCAAACGTGAGAGTAGAATGTCGAAAATCAACAAGACAGTAATAAGTAAAAGTAACAAGAATCGACCGTCGACATCAGCTGCAAAAGGACGCTAACGGCTAACGCAGTAATGCCTCTACAAGTGGTGACGACCGTAATAAGGACTCGTCAAAAAATTACTACCAACTGTTGCTATCGAAATTACCAAGCGACACAATTTATATCCAGTTTAATCCTACCGATAGAAGTTATATCCTATGATACAAGTTATACAATAATTCAAAACAAAATATCAAAAATCGTTTGATACAGAATCAGTATATCGTATGTGCCAACATACAATGTGTCGTAGTTGTATGGTATGATTGGTAATGGACCACCTGCGTAAGTCGCATGCTTCAGCCAAATTATAATATATCGGTCGCCAGACGGATCGTGCAACAATGGACCCACCCCCGAATCTCTATACACAAATCCTGTACTAATAATCAACACATATGTTGGAAGGCGAAAATAGCAGTAACAACAGCAATAATTATTTTATAAAACATAGTTGCTCGATGTGATTAAAAGTTATCTGTACTGCTGCGGATTCGAAGTGTAAACGTAATTTAAGTATGGCGCATCACCTTGTCACTATCTGTTAATGATTGCGTAATGCTAAGACAATTGTTATAAAACAGATACAATATATCATTATATGGTATATAGATAATGGAATAAATGAAGAAAAATATTTTATGATAAATAATATTAATCACGATGAGATGGAAATATTAATGCGATGAAATAATAATATTTTATATATTTAACGTTATAAAATATAAAAAATTAAGGGAGTCTTTGTTAAAGAAGAATCCTTATATGTACAAATATAATAATAACAATATTGTTATACACAGGTATGAATGTTGATCCTACATTCTTTCCACTCTATATACCAAAGGTCACCGCTGCCGCCGACCGTACACCACCCACCCCGCATATGACGTCACCATACCACTTCCACTCATACCTCTGCAATATATGTATCTGCCACCGAATGTCATTTGCATTATCTTATGATTTTTCATAATATTATAGTGCATAATACATGGTGTTGTTACTTGTTAATAGTATGTTTTCATTTATCATATTTAATAATGGTTATTTATATTTCTTTAAACATTCCTTAGTTTTTATAAAAAAAAAAAAAACTAAAAAATTGCTAGGTATTAAATTAATTATTATAAAAGAATAAATATTATTCGTCTTAAAAACGTTCACATTGACCTCAATATTGAGCAGCACACTGTATAGTCACGTACAGTTTTCTGAAGCGATATGTTTAGATATACGAATTGCTTACATGTGTTACGCGTGACCATCTTTTGTAATTGCCTACGCATGTGGCCACTCGGATTAAACATCCCCTAAACGGCATGCCTACGAATTCCATATAATTTTATTTTCTAAAAGATCCTTTTTATTGTGTTACTCGGCAAGGGACCCCGGATACACAGCAAGGACAAGCTAGTCTATCGATACGATAGCTATCAATAAGGCTAAATGGAAAGTAATATGTCGATAACCGTTCTCTTGTTAATAAGTTAGTAATGCTTTGACTATCGTTCAAGTGTGAGCACTACCCAATAGTATTTAATATTTTATTTTTATCTTCTTATTTTATACCGTGTGTGTTGTATATTTTTATTTAACATAATATCAAAATGTTTCACTGTGAAGCATGTGTCACGTCATTTACTCGACATGATAATTTAAGAAGACATATAAAAATGCATGATAGTTCGGGTTTCAAGTGTAATTTTTGTGACAAACTGTTCACTCGAAACGATAATCTAAGCAGACACATTAGAATATTTCATTCTGGAAAAGAAGCTTGTTGTATGTATTCTTTATATTAATTTAAATATAATGTTTATTTTAGTAACAAGTTTTTAATTAGCTGGTTTAGTGATTAAGGATGGAAACGTAAATGAATCTCAAGATGATATTCCGACCAGTGTGATGTGGGAATGGGACGACGCTGTAAATTACGTTGTATGTAACAAGGCACATGATGCAACTCGCGTTGATGTTAGACTATCGGTAAAAGACGATAATATTACAATTTCACCGCTGGTGTTTGTACCGAATAATCAAGCAGGAATTTCAGAATATGGTATATATATATATTAATAATTTAAATATTAAAAAAAAAAATGTATTAGGTATTTTTCTTAAATATAAAACGTATTCGTTGGTTTAGGCTCTACGAAGATAAATATCGACAGACTTTCGGGAAATACAATTGATGAAAACTACAAAGATCAAATAAAAAAAAATTGGGCATGGATTAAAGAGATGTTATCTTTGATTAATTCAATTGAAGGTAAAAATGAAGAACAACAAAAAATAATTTGTAAGTAAAATTTAAATTTTCATATTTTTTAAAAATACTATGAATGATTAAATACCACTGATATTTTTTGTTGCTTATAAAATAACTATAATAGCAATAAAGGATTATTTCTATCCAAGGCCGTACTTAGAAATTTTTTTTTGAAGGGGTCCAAAACCCGTATAATGTACTTATATTGTGTATTTACTAAACTTGGGTTTTGAGATTTGATTGAAAATAAAGTATGTGAATCAAAAAAATGTTAAATTATTATTAAAGTAATACACATTATGTATAAAATATTATAACATATTTTTGGAAGTTAAGAAAAATAATTTAATAGTACATTTTTGTTATCTTGTTTACTCCTTATGACTTAATTAATAAGATAATTCAACGTGTTTCAATGTTTGTCATTGTCTGGTGGACGACAGTATATAATTATTAAAATAATATTTTTAATTTACACAAATATAATATTGTTGTTATTAATCGTCGTCAACCGTCGAGACGTTGATCGGTATCGATAGTGGCCGTTGTCGATCAATAAAAATCTATGATTAGACGCTAAAATAAAATTATCATATGATATAAATTGTAATGATACAAAACCGTCAATAATCAATTTAATAAATTTTAATTTTAGCTATTTGTGTTAGTATTAAAAATAAATAGTTATTTTACACATTTTAAGCTATTTAAGAAATTTTGTGGGAGGAAGGGTGGTCTGGACCATTTTGACCCCCTTAGATATGGCGTTGTTTATATTAAAATTCATATTTATAGCATGTTATTTTAATTTTAATATTTGTAAAAATATTGCATACTAGTTATTCCAGTGCAATTCGTTGCCAGTACAAAATGCATCTGTGTTAAATTTGATTGTTTAATGTTAACATTTAGCGTAACGCGTGTGGATAAATGATATATTTAGTTTTCTGATTTGATGCTAAGATATTTCCAACTCATCAACTTACTTAGTTATCTCGCCCAGCGTTTCTTTTTATACCGTTTAATAGCAGAATTTTTTTTAAATTATTATTCTTATTTTTTTTTTTTTTTTTTTTTGTCGAACGATCCGAATTTGATTTTCTTTTTATTCTGGACCAAAAACTAATAACTATTAAAGTTTTAATAGTGTAAAATAAAAACAACGAAAAAAGTTTTCTATTGTTATACTACATTAGCCATTTAGTAAAATACTAATTTCTAACAATAAGTATCAAATGGTTGATTACACAAATGAAAAAAAAAAATATGTGCGTATTTGCTGATTACTTATTTAAAAAATAATTAACTCAATTTTTCAGTAACTTATAAAACTAAAAATATACTTTAACCTGCTCCGTGATGTATTCTTTTATTAAAAAAAAAATCAAGATAATTAGATGAATAGTTTCAGAAAAAATGCGTGAAAAAGATTTCCATTTTTATAAAAAATAATATATTATGTTAAAATATATATATATATTATTTATATATTACGTTAAAAAAATTAAAAATATGATTTACATGGTTTTTATTGGTATTCAAACAATATGATATGTAAATATTATCATCATTATTCAAAGATAAAATAATATTACTTGATAATCAAATTAAAAAGAATTAAGTTAAAATAACAAATGAAATGATTAAAGTTATCATTTTGTTATATTTATCAAACCACCGTGGTAATTTTTTGTCCAGTATTAGATTGAAAAAAATGTTTGTAATTCAAAATCAAAGAATAAGTCTTTTCTGGTTATATTATGACGTCACGGATGTACAGGGCCGGATTTACTTATAATGTGTCCATAAGTAATGAAAAACGAGTGCTCCTAATTATTATTAGAACATAGACGTTATGAGAATTGAGACCCCCTCCCAATTTATTTAAAATTTGTTTATGTCTATATAATGAATTTAAAATTATTTTAAAGTCAAATTTAAAAAAATAAGTATTGAAATTTTGTAGAAGGGAAAAAACAAATTTTATTAAATAATATGAGTATAGGTATTAATAATATCGTATTATAATATAATATTAGTATCATGATCTAAAAAAGTCAATATTTAAAAAAAAAAATTGTAAGCTCAAACATAAAATATGTTTGCAATACGTATGTAGATTATTGAAATACTACACATATTAAATAGGTAATAATTGTATTTTATTTATTTTAAATAAAAGTGATGGTTGGAATAGTCGTTAAAATGATGTTTTCATAATTTAGCTTATAATAATTAACTAAATATTACAAAAGTATAAATACAAAAGTAAACCATATTTATACATTTAAATATAACATTATAAGTAAATTAAATAAATTATATTTTAAATATTAAATTTTTTTTTTATTAAATTAAGATAAAAATAGATTAAGCTTATATATATTTTTTAATATAAGTATAATGTATAATTTTTACTTATTTAATTCCGTTATTAATAATAACGTCTGCTAAGTGTTCTATCCTAAAAGTGTATTTTTTTTTCAGTGCAAGACGTAATGACTATATGGCATGCAATCCATGACAGCCACGCAAGCAATTTGGAAAAACAAGGAGAAAGCTTAATATCTAACTCAGCTGCCACAAAACCAAAGGTATACGTTTACGGAAAACAATTGTCCTTCCCAGAAAAAAAACGAAGAATTAAGAAACACTAATTCAAATTTTGAAGACTTTCATGCTAATATATTCGAGGAAAAGTCATATAACATCAATGGAACTGAAACTAATCAAAATTCGTCAAGTAATACTGATGATGGAATAAGATGCCTCGAAGTTGAAAAAAAATTCTTCTTCTTTCAGTGAATGTTCAACAAACAAGCGTAAAAAGGCCAGTGTGGAGAAAGCACTTATTCATTTTATAAAAAACTACAAAATAAAAAGAATACCCAAGGAAAAAGATGAAGATTTAGAATTTTTTTAATTCATTACTTCCAACAGTTAAATCGTTGACTCCAGATCAGAAGTATAGATTTAGAATTCAAACAATGCAATGTCTTTACGACTTAAATTCAGAAAGTTTAAGTTCTATAGAACAACCAATAAATAACTCCTCGAACATACCATCGTCATTATACATCACACCTGTTAATTCATTTGAATCACCTACTTGTACTCCTGACATTGATTTTGTTTGGAAATCGTCTGCAACACCAACTGCGGCGTCATATTACTCTAAATTTTCTGCAAGTTAAATTTAAAATGACAATAGTGTATACTTATAAGAAGATTAAAATTGTCAAAGTTATTTAAAATTTGTATAAATTCTTTACATCATAATATGTATTAATTATAATAATATATATTTTAAACTTTAATTAATATTGAAAACCATTAATAATGAAATAAATAACTTAACGTACCTATTAATATTGTATGTATTGATGAGAAATTACTTCAATGTTTTTAGAAGCATTTCCTGAAGTTCTACCTATAGATTTTCTCATGTACGTGGTATAATGTTATATAATACTATTATTGATTGATATACGATAATAATTTATCCATTAAACTTAGGGGGATTTAAAAATAATTTAACATTTTTACAGATTTTTATTTTAGGTAGCTTATTATTAATTTGTATTTAAGTCCTAAAGGTCTCCGTTTTTTACCAGATGAACCCAAATCGTCTATTATTTTATTTTTGTTTTTATTTAAGGTATACATTAGAGAACTGAAAAATTAAAAACGTAATTTGTATAAATTTATTTCCAACTACAATTTTACATTTTATAATACAATTAAGGTAACAGAAGTTGGTCACTTCCATGCTATTGGTTGTGTAAAAGTGAGAGTTCAAAAGTAGCTATAGTGTTAAATTAGTAGTAATAAGTTATACAATATACATGCAATTTACCATATGTGAAAAAAGCTTTAACAATAAATTATAAATATGTAATAAATTAAGATATAATAAAGATCCTTTTGCATCCCCCCTAGTTGCACCATTGGTTGGTCTTAATTGAAGTCCAATAGCAGCTATAATAGCGACATGTCCGTCATAGAACGATCAGATGGTACTTATTTATGGTTTATCACCTGGAATAACATTTTTTTTTTTTTTTTTTTTATATATAGGTTAGGTTAGGTATTTAGTATTGCGACACCGACATCATTTATTTGAAATCAAATAATAAACACTATTCAGTGTTACAATAGGAGCAGACGGGTACAGTCTCCCCGGCTTTCCCCCTTACAATAATGTGTACATGGTTAATTCGTTGTTAATATTGAGCGGTGACTTGACGGGCCAACCGGAGTCCGCCGCCCTGGTGGTTTCATGCTTGTTCCGGTGTTTTGGCGGACCTACCGCTGTCCGCCGCTCAGGTATTTAGTACCTACCTAAAATACTATTATATTTAATATCTATGATTATTCGTTTTTTAGTTAAACAAAATAAAAATAAAAAACAAAATCGATTTAACTTAACACGTATTAATATTGCATTTAATACATGCCTCATTGGCCATAACAGTTTGGTTTGATATTGGGAATGATCTGCCGTCGTCTGCCGGGAGTTCTATGTTTCAAGGAAATAATGTAATAGAAATAAATCAACTCAATTATAATGACAGTACATTGATATTTGAAAATACAGTACCAAAATATTAAGAAATTGATGGAGGACAAGTTTTAAAACAGTTTCCAGAAATAACTCAAGTATTACATAGGTATTCTATATGCCAATATGTAATGTTTCTGCTCTATTAGTATTTATGTTTTCTATCTATCACTTAATAGAGATATGTATTTAATAATATTATTGTGGAATAATAATACTATAATAAATAATTTTTATAAAAATATATTTAATTATTTTAATAATATTCTCTAGTATTTTTAAATTTTATTTAAAAACCCTGTTGGCTGTTGCTAATTCAGTTTATTTTTTTTTAGTATGTCGTACCTTTACGCGTTAATATTGGCGATTAGATTATGATAAAATTATCAACGAAATAAATCTTAAACGGTCTAGTGAACTGAACTATTGATTGTTTCTTCAAATTTAAGTAAATATAGAAATACTAAATATTAATGTTTATAACGAGTTCCCATGCGACATATATTTTTTTAGTTTAGTTATTCTTTTAAGTTTGCTGTTGTAGATTTTTTTATACATATACATATTACATTATACGTATGTCATATAATTTACAAAATATACAGATTAATTTTATGCTATTACCTATACTTATTAACAATCTGGATCTATTTCACACAGTTATATACTTATATGGTAAAGTAGTATTGTCTCAAAAAATAATAACAATATTATAATATTATATAAATCTATACTGTTATGAATTATAATAACTAAATATGTATAATATTAAAATAATAAATGCAATGTTTTCAGCAAAAATTACCGTAATATTAATAGTAAGATAGATTACTTTAATTATTGCTATATCATATTATCTTATTATGAAATATACTTAATGATATTCATACCTATATTATCTATAGTATGATATGATTTGAAATGGCCCTCGTTCAAAATCGTTTTTCGTGTAAAATTCTATGTATATAATATATATCATTGAATTAAAATTTAATATATCCACTTAACACCTAATGTACAGCAATATGGTACCCAAACACCAATTTTTTTAAATGTAACTTGAGTACTTACCTATATATCATATCGTGTTTTTAATATCACTTCTTATCTGATTTTTGTTTCTTTTTTTCTTTTCAGACCACATGTATATAATCAGGTGTAATCGCCTGAATCATGTAATCTATAATCAAGGGTGGAAAATCTAGGTATACGTCCAGGGCACTTGTTAGAAGGGGTCGCCACAATGATTTAATGTTAAAACTAAAAAAAAATTATAAGAATATAATAATAAATTCTAATATTCTAATATTCCCAAATCTCAAATACCTGGATATATATCTGGATCAACAATTTTTATTACTGTTACCAGTGTCGAAAGAAGTTTTTCGAAATAAAAACTAATAAAAACGTATCTGCGTACAACATTGGGAGTCAAAAAGCTATAAAATCTCCATAGGCTCAACTAAACCTCTAAAACGTGGGATGCTAAAACTGTTAACGCCTCACAGAGCCAAGGTATTTCACTAAAACAATAAAATTAAGGCGTAAAAAACAAGGGGTGTTAAATTTGAACTAGGGGGCGTTAAAAACCCTTTTGCACCCCCCTAGTAGCACTACTGATGGTAATACTTACGATATTATTATAGAATTATTGAATGACACAAAATTCCCGCCCTTCTACTATATTATTACTCACGACATGCGTCTGACGCCAATGCGCTCTGACGGTGGCGTATGGTCACTGTTGGCCAACTCGCGACCAGCCGCGTATAGATCGCACTGCCAATACCAAATATTCATCAAGAAGGTGCCGCCTGCATTTATTGTTTCCATCTTACAAGTGCGTTTAGCAAGTTCACGTTTGGTTTCGTTACCCTTTGCTATTAGAGAAAATCGACCTGTTATGAAAGTTAGCGGCAAGAGCTTTATCCGTGTTCGTGTGAAGGTTTTTTACGAACATTTTTAAACGGCATCGTTTTATGAACGCAAAACTCGATAAAAACTAAATTATAATCCTACACCCAGATGGAGTGCGATGCTGTCCACAGTCTTATTGAGTTAGAAACAATCTAAAAGAGGAGAAGATATTTCTTTATTCTAATTCCGATGGTTTTGTTATGATAAAAAAAAAAAAAATTCAAATAATTTGATTTCGAATTATTACCTTTTTTAACTATTTATATTATGAGTTATGAAATAGTGTAAACCCGCTATTTAAGTATAAATATTGATTAAATATTATTTTTTTGATAGAGAAATTTGAAATATTATTATAAAGTTCCTCATACGTATTTAATTTTTCAATCAAAAAATATTAAAAGTCTATTGTAACAACAATTTTTTATAATATTTCAAAAGAAAAATTATAATAAAATTCATAAAAATTGCGAATTGCAAATTATTTTGTAGTTGAAAATTCATATAAAATGTTGATTTAATATCTAAGATTAATTACGAGGGTTCCTAATACATTTTTTAAACTATACATATAAAAAAAAAAATTCTACCTGGAAAATAAATATATTTTTTATGAGTATTTGAAATTTAAATGTATTGTTAACATTCAATATTCACTTGTAAAATAATTATTAAACCTCAAAAATTTTTTGATATTTTATTGAAACTAAAAAAAAATAGTAATATATACTTAAAATGTTCACCAAATATTTATATTAATTTCATTTCTATGATCAAATTTTCAAATTTTTTTAACTCTTTTTGAATCTTGAGAAATTTTCAACCATTTTTAATTTTTTTTTTTAATAAAACTTAATAAAAAATTATTGACTGTAAAAAAATTCTTGAAAATTTAATACAAGATTTCATAAAAGTTATTATTAAGAGCTATATAAAATTATTAAAAATATAAAGGCAATTTTTTTTTTTAAATGCATTATTTGAAGTTAGAATTTTGTCCAAATATTTAAAACTTACAAACCATTTGGTAATTAAAATTTCATAAAAATTTTTTTTTTTGCTCATAAATTCTTAAAGTTTAATATACGATTTTTCATGAATAGTTCATATTGAAATTATAAAATTTAAATATATGAAAAGAACATTTTTTTTAAGTTAAAATTTGAATGAAATTACTTATTAAAACAATAAAAAGTGATTTAGTTATTTTGTTTTAATTTAAAAACATTATTCGTGGGAATCGAAAACATGTTTATTTTATATTTTATAATATGCGATGATACTGTTAAAATACCTAGATGATATCTACAATACTTATAGTACCTAATATAATAAAATAAATGATTTTAGTAGTTATATCAAAAGACATAATATTATGAAATATATTTAGTGACATATATCATGCT